TTGTAATTTTGATTTTTTTGTAGTTCTATGTGATATCAAAATATGATGATATATAAAATTTGATTGTGTATATTCTTTGCATCGAGATTTCTTTGGGGTATTTTTAAAAAAAAGAAAAATCGAAATAACTTTTTACGACATTTGAATGAATTCAAAGAATTTCCTGAATTTTTTCAATTGATTTTTTCCTTAAAATACGCACGTCTTGAATCAAATACCAATCAAACTTGAATTGAAGCGCGGGCAAACAAGGAGCTGGGCTGGTATGGGGCCCCCCTGTATCCTTTTCGCGCTCGTGGTAGGCTGTGCAGCCGCGGGAGCTTGCTGTTTTTCTGGGTGGGGTCGGATGAGTGTGCGCCACGGCCAAATGGCTCTTCATCTATTCCCGATGGTCGTTGTGAATTTGTTGACGTTCTGGGCGAAGGTGGGCGGGGGAAGCAACGAGCTGGCGATAGCAGCCATGCTAATTCAAACCTCGGGACATGTTTCTTCGTCTCCTTCGCGTCATTTCGGGCAACATGATCGAGCAAACAGCCTCGAAACTGCTGAGACGACAGTGACTCACAGTTGCAGCAAGCATCAGGCTAGCCAGCGTGTTGAACTCCCCAAATATGCAAAGCATCGATTTTGGGAAGTTTTTGGTGCTGCCAAGGCGCGGCTGCAATTTGTTGCCATAGGCGCAATTCTGGGAAAGCGATTTCGACTTCAGTGTAGATTTGAAGTATTCCAGGGAAGACCGGTTCAAGCTTTGCAATATTTTTGCGCGGGTGAAAAATCTGTTGTGGTGACATCCGCACGGCAAGAAAGCACAACTTAAAGCTTTGGGAAAGCGAATGTTTTAAATGGTTACCACCCAAAAAGCGAAATCATGCCATGCTTTGAGCAGCCAAAATCTGCACCTTTCGTCGCTAATGGTGATCAAACTGTTTCCGAATATTCAGAGTGCCTGAACGGTGCTTCCTGCAATGTGAGTGTGCAGCAGTCGTCCATCAACATGTACGTAATGCACCGTCGCTGCAACACGTGCTGCAACAAGGTTGTGCGACTGCTGGCAACGTACCCCAGCATTTCCTCCCTGACGGAATAGACGGAACGCGTTTGTTTTTTGTTGGCAGAAATGATGGAGCGGCTTACAACCATCGAAGCGACATGTGGTCAGTCGGGGTCGTGTGTTTTCACATGTTGCGGGCACGCAGTTGACATCAATTGTCTGGTTTGGTAACGTCTGATAGACTCGCTGGGTGAGTCTGCCGTTTTTCGCAACCATGCCACCTTGTCCTTTGACGCGTTTCTTTGTGAAAGCCTCTTGCGTGCCTGTCTCGCGGTAATAAAAGTCCAGAAGTTTTGGTACCGCAAGCTTTCGCTCCTGGTACGAAAATGTTAGAAAAAATGCGTAGCGTTATCTTGCGGACTCGAATTTTCGAAAATTTTGCTAGCTGCCTACCATCCAACCAAAAAACAGGACTCATGAAAGCTTGGCCGCGGCCCACCGTCCGACGGGCCGCCCAGGAGCCCACCCCGACCAGAAAGGAAAATGTGAAGGGAGCCCAATGGGAAGCCAGCTTCCTGGTCGCGGGCCACCCATCCGAGCCAAGAGCGGAATAAAGTAACATGCAGGATCCAAAGGAAAACCCAGCCCTGTTGCCAAACCCACCGGGGGGGGTATGGTATCACCGGTTTTCGGAATGAAGCCGATCTTGGTCTGTTGTGGCCTGTGACATGAAAAGCCCATTACAACATCTTATAAAGTTAGAAATATACATACATGTATTATTCACAGATCGTCTAAATAGACATTACCAAACAAAGACAAACCAGTACCATTTACAACACACACATACACGGAAACAAGAGACAACCCTAAAACCCAAACGCATACATTCGTTTTTCACACAAACACTAAGAAACATTCACACTGATATCTACAGTCAAAAAACTCCAATATATCGTTCAATTCGCTTTTTCCAGATATTCAATGTAAAACAAAAATTCTGAATTGGAACAGAATCATTTTTTCGGCTTTACAATTGATTGGAATGGTATGACGCGACTGGTAACAATTATCGTTTCCTTTTTGTGATGAAAATTATATTGATTTCTTCCATTTTCTGTTTGGTCATCAGCGGCGCCTAAATGTTGATCAAAATATGTATCAACAAATTTCAATCAGCATTTACTGGAATGGCCGCGAAAATTGCCTGGTGCAAATAATTGCAAGGGGTTTTCCTGGGATATCTTTGCGGAAAAATTTCCAAAGAAAAAAGTATTTCATTTTGCGAGAAAAATCATATCTTGGTCATTGCAAAATACCAATCATAATCGATCTATGAAATCAGATTTTTTGTGCCATATGAATCATTCGTAATTCAATAAAATTCACAATTAAACTAAATCGGAACTGTGACAAGAAAATAAAAGTCGACGCACAGTGGTGTGTCGGCTGAGTAATCATATGAGCTTCCAGGGAACGATGCTTCGCATCTGGCAAATAGTGCCTGGAATTTGTTTTTCAGATAGCAAGATGACTGTGCAGAATCAACAAAGGATGACTCATAAAATTCCAGAAGGTCATGTAAATCAGCCTGTGAAACAGGAAAGAAAATTGCACCACGGCCAGTGGCCACATCGCCATCTTAGCGATGGATTTTCGGATCGCAGGCAAGTCCTTGGACTGTGTCTCCACACAAGGAATGAAACCAATCAGTTACTTTTGTATTTAAATTACCCAAATTCCCAAAAATTTTGGCCGTTGCACCGCTTTTGGGTTTCGGTTTGAAAGAACGACTATTTGGTGTGGGGCACGCTTTCACTCTCAACAACCGCTCCTGTCAGCGAAAGCATGGTGGTGCACGTTTCTTTCCCATACCGCTGGTGTCCCTGTGCCTCAGCTGTCCCCTTCTTCTCATTACAAGCTCGCTTCATGTTTCATTTCTAGGTCCAGATGAAGAATGCGTGCCTGGAATGGCATTGCTCTTCATATATAACCGATAAATAATCAGAAAATGAGTTCAGTCCAAGCTATGTGAAATGAAAAACACCATTTCAAGTCATATTAATATGCCAATAATGAAAATTCATAAAAAAAAATCAATGAAATCTTACAGAATTAATTAGAGAACAAATATAATATTTATATATATATATATATTTCAACACAGAATAATGCTCTTAAGCAAGTCCGGTCCAGAATACAATATCGATCAAAATCAAGTATTTCTCAAAAGCGCACGCCTATATTCGGAGAATAATCAGACAATATATTACTTCTAAAGAATAGAGAATATCAAATCATGATATCATGAAAAATTTTGAAAATCCATGAGAAAATCACTAAAATCAATTTTTTCTTCTGATCAATTTTCCCCGGAAGAAAAACATTTAAAGAATGAGAAAAACGAAATAGCCTTTGTTCAAAAATTTTCTAAATAAAAATATTTCAATATTATATAAATTTAGGAATAAATATATAAATAATTATCGAATAAATGACAAATAAAGAAATAAGCAAGAAATAAGCAAGAAAAATAGACAAAACGACATTCCCACGAATACATCCTCATAGATCGAAATCAGCAAATAACGACAGTCAACTGAATAAATTTCAACACGCACAAGCCCACACAAGCACCTAGACAAAAGACAGAACTAAACATAGACAAAAACGCATACTCTCATATTCACAGAGACAGACACACAGAAACACTCACACACAAACAAAGAAACAGAGAGAAGCAACAAAAACGGACAGACCGACAGACACAAACAAACAGATACAAACAAACAAACAAACAAACACACAGACATAGATAGATGGATAGACAAACAAACAAACATGTCCGCTACGACTCATGAAATGTTTTCATTAACCACGAGATGTTTCAAAGGGAACATCCTGAAAATTTTAAAACCGCGATTATGTCTCCCAATAATTTCGGAAATTTTATGCCTACGATCATGTTCGGCCACAGCAAAGACCGCAGAAAGCCGACGGCCGCCTGGCACAAACATAGATCCTCCAGGTATCCATATTAGACTGATTACTGGGGGCTGTGCCGCATCACGGTTTCTTGTATTCTTTCAACTAATTTTTTGTTTTAAAAAATATAAACACTCCCTTATATATATATACACATTATATATATGTATATATATATATATTTTTTTTATTATTTTTCTGTTTGCGCATCTTATTTTTCCATCATCAATATTTTTAAACTAAATACCCCAAGATGTAGGAACGATCTAATACCAAAACGAATCAAAATATATCGTACTCCTTGAATCCGAAATTTGGGGTACATTGTTATAATTCAAATTAATTTTCTAATCGGTGCACAAGAACATAATAATCCTCGGCTGCGAACTTGTTGTGGTAACTTCATATGTGTTTCGGAAGAAATATGCAAAAAACTATAGACAAACAGATCTAGTGGCTGTGGAAAATCTATTTCAATTTCTTCTTAGTTTGCAAGTATCGAGAATTCGTGTGCTCGCTTCGTTTTGGGGACTGGGTAATAATTATATACACAATTATTTTTGATGGTTGAATATGCAAATTCGGAATGTATTTCAAGCTTTGAGCCAGCTATGAAGCCCTGCGAGTGGGACTGAATTGCATATTACGCTAAGTCTACCGATCAAAACATCATGCTGGTCAGTGGATCGCAGAGTCAACACTAAAGTAAATAGCCTGACAGTAACGAAGAACTGCGAGCCTGAGTAAGTGCGAGCGCTTGCAGCGGATCTCAGGGATGATTGCAACCCAAAAGACGCATGGCGTGATTATGATTCATGCCGAATGAAATCAGCAATTTCGAAAGTAAGGAGGAAATGCTTTGGACACGTTGACGACAGGTACTGATGATTGCGTGTTCGCAAACCGCCATGCAACGAGGAATTCACGCAGTCGCGGCATCAAAAAATATGATACATTATTTCTGCAGTTGCTCCCATCTTGAAAATTGTTTCCTTCCATCCGTCGGACCCAGCGGGTGGTAAGGTCAAAGCTTGGCCATAACATGCAGCTCACAAATGATCTGCCCCTGGGCAGCCTCCATGTATATCGGCAGGTGCTGTCCTAAGGGGCAAGTGTCCAAAACAATGGCCTTGCAGTTGGACCGCTATCGTGTCCACCAAGTTACTGTGAATTCCACAAGAGATGAGCGCTTCAAACGTAATTGTCGTCGGCTTGCAAACCTCGGAAACCGCAAAGCATGAAAGACACTTTGTCTTGCATCTCAAGCAGCATCGCCGCGATGCACACCACAAAAATGCACTGCGAACCAAAGCGACGGCTAGCTTCATCTCTCCAAGAAGAGACAGCGCAGTTTGCCAGCTCTGATGGTGTCTGAGTGAAGTCAATAACGAGTTGTACGTCAAAAGATCCTTGGAGCGGCGACGTAGCTGTTGCGAGTCTAAAGCAAAGCGCGATTTAAGGTCGGAACTGGCCAAACTTGATCTTGAACCATCAAGTGCCAAAGCAAGACTGTTGTTTGCCAGTGAAAGCAAACACTCAGAGAAGTGTTGAACGTCACGAGGTCCTGAGCAGCGCTAGTTCAGCAAGACATATTAGCCATGTACTGTGGGAAAGCATGGCCAAAGCATGCAGCTAAGTCTCTGGTTGGATGACATGCTGGCGCATGTCGTGGAACAGTGCGCAAAGGGTCTTCCAACTTCGCGAATCTCCAAGTGCGGCAAGTGCTGCATTGTAGGTTACCACCTTCGCAGATTACACAACATGACACTGGATGTCAGCAGGTACTTGGAACTTGACGACAAGCGACATCTGGAGAGAGTCGAAGCAACTCCATGCTCCAAAGAAGATGCAAAGCTTCTTTCCAGTGAAACTGTCTTCCACTCGCTGCAATCGCCTCGAGATTGAGTTTTCCCATGTGGCCGAAGGTCAAAGAAATCATGTACTCTTAGCATCTTGAAGAGAGGGGGATGGTACTGGGGAGTTTTGGGGAATTCTGGATTACTTGCATTACTTGCATCCCTTGGACCCCGCTCCATAAGGATCCCACAATGCACAGAGCCCGATCTTGAAGACAAACCCTCCGATCGCCGCGTCTGACTGTAAACAGCAGGCAATATCGTCCGATTCCGGAATCTGAACTGCAAACATCCCAGTGCTAGACTGCTAGACCTTAAGCCATGCAAAGGAACCCCCAATTCTGAGCATAGGCAAACCAAGGGACTGCATTGTAGCTCACAGTGTTGATCAAAATACTCCGTGCTGACATGGCCTTGACTGCCAGTCTTGTCAAATCGCGGTTCTCATGAAAGCTGTGGACTGAGTGATGAGCGTGCAAACAAGCAAGTGCTTCTTGCCAGCGACCGCCACGCTCACATGCAGTGATGCAAGCATTGTAGGATATCGTGTCCTCGGTCCGGGGTGGCTGGGAATACTGGACATGAATATGAGCAAACATGACCTGCCATGCCACAAAGTCGCACATCTGACAGATCGGCTGTCCATAACATGGAGCAAGTGCAAAGACATTTGCCAGTGTGTGCCTCAGATTGAACAGCATCAAACGAGGCAAACGGACGCCCTGCAATACTGACCTGCCTTTCTTGGCGAGGCACGGCTGCATGCACTGATGGTCGCATTGTATGCAATCAGATCGGGCAAGATTTCCGAAGCATTCCTGTGCAGAAGCTCTTGTGGGTGACACCGGTCAAGCGCGACGATTGCATCCAAGAGTCATGACATCTAGCATCAGAAGAGCTTGCTCCCACTGGCCGCTCTTCTCACAAGAGCTCACCACCGCGTTGCAAACGCACGCATTCGGCTGCGTTAGAGAATGCCTCGCTCAGTGCGACACTGCAGCAAGCAGAATTCGCAAATCGGAGTGATGCATTGCTCAGAGAAGCCGTAAGAGCCATGCCTCATGCTCTTGAGCAGTGCAATGGCTGTTCTCCACTGCGCAGCCCTTTCACCTCAACCGAACATTCGTTCTTCATGCAGAGAAGCAAGGCCGGTCTGAGCACATCCAAAACCTCGGGGATCAAAGGGGGAACATGAGGTGCGGCTGTCTCTCAAGCGGTGGCTGCAGCGCCCCAGGTGATGACATCCTCAAGTCCACCAAGGTTTTGGGTTTGCATGGCAAACGGGATGGCTGGCGCTCTCTGCGTTGCAACCACGCCACTGGCTCCAAACGAATGTGCTGGAGAGAGCCTTGGCTTCGGAGGGCTTTCGGAGTCCGACTCTTGAGCGCTGGGACATTGTTAAAAAAGTGGCATGGTTCGAATGATTGCTTGGTGCAGATGAGGGAAGATGCATTTCAACAGGCTGTGTCTGTTCAGCAGAAGGCTGCCATCACGAAAAGATTTCTTGAACACGGAGGGTTGTTGTGCGGCAGTTGTTCAGCATCAACGGGGCGAACTTGAATAATTGCCATCCAAACACCGAAAAGCCTGTACCGGTACCGTGTGGAGGGGATGAAGTTTGAAGGCTGTTTCGGTCAAGGCGAGTGCCCGCCCACAGCAGACGCTGCACAGTCCAACAGTCGGCCCATGGAGAAAGCCTTCGATGCTGGAACGACCTCTGCTTGATGATGCAAAACCGGGTTGACTGCACAAGGGGACAGGTGAAAAGCCGTTGACTCGAAAGGAGAATTGTTTCCGAAGGCCTGTGGTCGAAACAACTTTTGTGGATCATGAAACTGGCTGCGGCCTAAAGTGCGTGAAGATGGAAGATGAATTTGTCGAGCTGGGAACAAGGACTGAAAGCCAGATCCAACTGTGTGGCTGGATTTCACAACAAGAGCAAAACAGAATCTGAAGTTGTAAGGCAACCACACAGGCAGTCACACATGCAAAAGCACGGACCACCGTGAGCCCAAAGTCCGCTGCATGAAAGCCAAAGACAAGCAGAAGCGCCGGAAGCACAGACGCAGAGGACAAAACACCACAGAATGAAGCAAAATTGAGGAAAAAACGCGGATCCGAAGACAAAGAGCAGCTCAGGAGAGCATCCGTGGCCTCTCCCCTCCCTGCGTAGTTCGGACACTTTCGGGCGGTCAGTCCACACTGCCTTTTGTGCGTCACTTCTCTTAGTTCTTTTTCTTCAGCCCTCACAGAAGAGCCCAAGGCAGATTTTGCTTCTCTGATGTGGAAACATCAGCTGCTCAGCTACGCCCTTGCCCCATCTGTGCTAGACTCTTTCCGCCAGGCTCCTTTCGCCAGGCAACTGATCAGGGAGAATGCCTGTTCCCACTCACCTGCTTTGGCAGCTGCGCTGATGGCGCTGTTGAGAAGTGCGACATCGGGCTGAAGTTGCCGGTCCTGCCACCGCAATCAAAGCGGATAGCCCGCGTCGTTTGGGCTCTGTATTACTGCAGGTCTTCACATGCCTCCAGATCAGACAAATAGTGCATCGCCAAATGCCACTGAGTACTTGCTTCGCATGCTTTGATAATGGCACCTGCCCCAACAGACACGCAAGATCACGCAAGCAACCGGGGATCCCAAGACATGCAAAGAGCAAAGGTATCAAAGGCGAGGTGCTGAGGACAAAGTTGTCAGTGGAGACCTGCTTCGGTGCAAGAAGCAGCGCAATGCCAAACGGAGCATGGAAGGATGCTAACACTAGAATCAAGCTTGAAGCTGCAAAGGGCCTGCATGTCCTTCAAACAAGCGAAAACCGACTGCCAAAGCTCAGCTCCCGAAAGCGAAGACAAAGTCGTACTGAAGGTAAAATGGTCAGCTTCAGCACGGGCCACATGCCTCAAACAAAAACACATCGTGTTGACTCTCTTTACATACATTGTAGGCCGTTTTCAGCAGAGCTTCATTGACTGAACCAGGTCGAGGACGTTGCACCAGAGCTTCACCTTCCTGGAGCCGGGTAAACGATCTTCGTGAAGGCATTGGAGCATGTGTGACACAGAAAATCGGGACACCGAGGCATAGATTAGTCTTGGGAGCCCTGTTGAGTACTCCAGGCTGTTGAACACTTCGGAAACTTGTGACTTTGAAGTTCAGAAGCACCGGAAAACCCAAGCCGTGAGGCTTCTGCCCAGATTCTCAAAAGCACTCGCAGCAGCGTTGTAACCAATGCTGTCTTCCATGAAGTCCTGTTGGCAGTGGAGTCCAGTATCATGCGCTTGAAAACGCGAAGTCAGTTTCGAAGCTTAAAGCTCTGGGCCTCATTGATACGAAGTATACTCAATGCAAAGCTCCACTGCTTCGCCCGAGCACAGGCTGTGATCGCAGTGTTGAAGCTGATAGCCTCGCAATGCCGAAAACACACTCCTGCAGACCAGAACCGTCGCTTGCGCTGAGACACATCTCCGCTGACGCCCAAATTCTGGAAGCTCATCAGGCGACCCAATGCAGCTTGCCAATTGCCGGACCGCTCGTGGGCATTGACCACCTCCGCAGCACGTGTTGGACATGCCTTCGGTTTGTTGCGGTCGGCGTGCCGAAACATTCTTCAACAGGGCACGCTGTTCAAGGTCACCGCCGTGGGACGCACAGAGCTTGCACGCATTACGGAATAGAACTCCTCTGCGAGGACCCAATGATTGACCTTCGGGAAATCGCATGGCTCGGCAAAGCAGAACCCTTAAACAATCCAAAAACTGGCAGATCGCAACCTTGGAGCAGGAGTTGATGGCGATATTGAAAGTGATGACATCAGCTGCCTGAACTGTTTCACCATGCCTGTACATGCAATGTCTATCCCAGTGCATGCCTGGTAGCTGGGACATGCAGGCTTTGCAGTGAGCCGAGCAAATCCAGTGCTTCTTGCAGCTTCCGGTGTTGCGCAAGACTGCGGGCGACCTCAGACCCGGAAAGCCTCCCGATCAGCAAAATTCTCTGTGTCAAAGGTCGGCCTGCGCAGCTTCCCTGGGCGTCAAGGGCTCCTGCAAGAGTTGCGTGCCCACACCTGGCTCCCAAATTCGACTCGCCGCTGGGGCCGTCCTTTAGCGGAAGTGTGTCTGCAAGCCTGCCGGCAAAGCCCGCCATGAGCTTTCACCACCTGCGATGTCAAGCAGCATACGACACATCGCAACGGATCGCCTTCTTTGGGACGAACAGAAGCCTCGTAGCTGTCTCCGGCGTTTCCTCATGCCGCTGCCGCCCATATGCAGTTGGCTCACTGTTGTGCAAAGGCTCGCAGCCTCCTACCTACAGCAGCATGGCAACATTCCAGCACTCACCGCAAGGATGCTGCGTACTCTTCTGCTTCAAACTAACTACATTCCATCGCTCGATACACAGAGTGGAACGAGAAAGCGGAGCAACTTCGAGGTGTGCCAACAAGGACACGTGTTTTTTCGAAACTTGCTTCTGAGCATTCAACCTGTCGCGCGATCCTTTTGCTCTTGCGATTGCATTCTGCTGCAGGTGATCGGCTCTGACCTCGGGTTCTGAGTCGTGGTGCACCAGGTTTTGATACCTGCAGGCTGCCATCCTGTCACCGGGCGGCAGCTCCCAATTCTGCAAATCACCATGAATTACACCTGACTCGGATGCATCATTGTCCGATAAAGCATTTGAAGAAACAGCAGAGAGATGTTTCCGCGCTGCCAAGGAGCGATTCAGTGCAGCAGTAGAGCTTGGGTCTTTCCCAGCTGCTCCCGCAAGTGCAGAGATGAGGTCGGCAGGCAAATGATCCAACACCTCCTAGGTTGGCCCCGGCCCCATCACAGGGAGTGGTCATACGACCATGAGCAACACAGACAAAAAAGGGAATGCGATCCAAGCCGCGTGCTCGCCATTGACAAGGTCGTGAAAAAACAAGGAATGTCGATGCAAAAAGATAGAGTCGCAGACGTGAAAATCCAATTCCTGTGTTTGCAAAGCCTGGAACAGTCTCAACGTCGCTCATGCAAGGCAGATGCCGCAAAGCAACAGCGCGCAACCCAGATCTTGACCTGTCAAGGTACGGTGTACTTCTCGTCCCGAACCACTGCGTGTCCCATGAAGGAGCAGTGGCTGCGAATTTGATGACGCCGGCCGGTTGCAATCCGCACCTCGATATACGGCTTTTGCAGAGCCATTCAGTGTGAGTCAAGACGAAAGGGCGCAGGAGTTCCAGAGTTTCGCTAGGTCGATGATCTTGCAATAAAGCTGCCACCGTCAATGTTGCAGTGCCAAGCTGGAGGAGAATGTGAGCCAGCGCCTTTCCCAAACTAAGCGGGGACCCTGGAGTTCCAGCAACACGCGAGCCTTGAATTCTGTGCGTGCAGGTTTTCCGACACTGCCGGAGCGAGTTGGCCCATCTCCTCAACTCAAGTGCTGTCAACTTCTCAGCACAAACCTATGTGTACACCTGAACTACTTTGGCTAGTTCGCTGGAGCATCTAAACTAGTTTACCAAGTCCTGTCAAGGTGGAGGGTAGTGCAGTGCGTGGAACTTTCACGGCAGGGAGCCCATGGCAGTCCTTGCCATGTCACGAGGGCATTCACCCTGCGCTGTGTTTGCGCGAACCAGCCGTGGCCTCATATCAGCAAGGCAGGTGAGCACCTGGTTCACAAATCCTCTTCTCATCCAGCAGAGCTGAGACGACGACACAAGACACAGTAGTCACGTCGAATCTCCTGAGCTGAAGCTTTGAGGCATTCTTGCCGATTAGGCCCTGAGCTGCTTTGAGCTTATGTGACAGCATATTAGCATTACCTTTCTCGGGTTTGGCTTGCCCGCGGGGCTGCTTTATGTTACCCCTGGGAACTGCAAATTGGCAAAGCAACAGCTTCGTTTGCACGTCAGTGCGACGAGACTGTATGCCGGTAAGTCCCAACAAGCTTAGCTAGACGGCGATACAAGGCCAAGGTCAGTGGCCCATTAGAGAAGTGAAGCCCGCGCTCTGTTTCCATTCCTGCGGATGGCCCCAGAGAATCATGTTTCGGGAGGACCACTCGCGCGGGAAGGTGTAAACACGCACGCTCCAGGATGGTGGCAGTTCCGGTGTCGAGGGGACGGGAGGGTCCAACTGACGCAGTCGCATTCCGTTAATGCCAAAGGCTGCCAGCTGAGAGACGTCACGAGGTAAGCCGTTGCTTTCCGCGAGTCGTTGCAGAATCTCCTCTTGAGGTGCAAGTGCTCTCGAACGCAAATGGGGCTGTGATGCATAGCAGCAAGGGCAGATGCAGAAGGGCAGTCGGAGCTTGGCACAGGCTTCCAAAGCAACATCGGTGAGGCCACCACACGCATGTAAAGCCATTACAATGGGACGCCGTTCCTGGGCCTCCAATGCAGGGGCCAGTGATTCTGCATTCGAAATATGGAAGTCCACATCCAAGTTGAGTTCACCTGCACGATGCTGGCCTTGCTGTGCTGAGGGAGCGAAAGATTCGATCACCGAAACTTTCGCGCCTGGCACACGAGCCGCCACAGCCATGGCCAGGTCACCACGGCCTCCGCCGACGTCCACGATGTCCACGACGTCTACAGGGTCGGCCTGGCTGTCAGCGCCGCTGCGAAGTTGGCCAAGCTCCGAAACAAGTCTGGTCATCACAGACACCTGCGGTCGTTTCTTGCGCTTCGAAAATATCTCCAGATGCGGGTGCGCTCCACCAAGATTTGCAACAGGATCCGCGGGGCCCAACACGGCACCTGCGGTATCTGAAACGTCTGGGCGCAACGGCATGGCATACCTGCGCAGCATCTCTGCCCAGCCTCTAAACTCTTCCAGCGCACGGTGCTCCTTTGCGGTCATGCTCCGTCGTCGGTTCCTTGCACGATGATCCCGCCCTAAGCGAAGAAAGCGTGCACGTCGCGAGCAGAATCTCCGTCGACGAGGCTCATCCCACAAAAGCACGTTCTCCAACTCAACCTCTGACATTTGCAACCAGCAGCAAAGGTCCTTTCGTTGCACAGCCCCTACCAAGGCGAAACTAAGGAGCGATGCCAGCAAGGCAGGAGAGGCAGACGTCAAGCCTTCAGCCGTAAAGCTCTTTGCGAAAAGTGATGCCTGGCCCCGACGTGTCCTTCCTGCGACCCCGCAGAAACATAAGAGAATTCCCGGCCTCAGAAGCCGTATGTTTCCTACTTCGGCTTCAAGCGGCACCACGACCTGAAGTAGCTCCTGGTCGCCGCTCACCAGGTTTCCTTTCGCTGTCTTGCCGACATCTAGGAAAGCTGTCCGTCGATGCCGGCGCACGGACCGCACCTCTGCCAGGCCTCGCAGCTCTTGCCCACGTTCACCGGCTGCCAGCGACGCACAAGCATCCGAGACCGCCGAGTAGAACTCCCAAGCCCAACACGCGACGGCTTCGGAGCGCTTCCACGGAACCTGCGTCTGAGGCCGTGCAAACGGCACAGCGGGACAAGGCCTTGAAGCGAAAGCCACTCCCGAGCGCTGTCTGCTTGGGCCCAGCAACATCCGCAAGGCGACCGCTCCTTTCGAGCCCGTGGCTACGCGAGTAGGCTAGGAGTTCATCGCCGTCCTTTTGTACGACTGGGAGACTTTCTCGTGCTTACGGAGGTTGCAACTTAGGTCCAGGAGATGTTCAGCTGAGTGTCTCCGGCTCTCAACTGCACCTGTCTGAAGCGAGAAGCTTTGTCACAAAGACTCAAAGCAAGCTCACTCAGCGACTAAGTGGCGATCCAACTCAACTTTAAGCTGAGCACCTGCAAGTCGTAGTATGCTCGAAAGCTCTTCGCAAAGAGAATCAACCCAGAGCACGGAACGTCCACGCGGTGCAGGAACCCATGGTCATGCTGCGCACCTCAGATGTGACAGGGCTAACTACAGGTGCCAAGGTCTGTTCCAGTGCAGTGGGGAGGCTCTGCAGAATGGGCCATGAGCCCTTCCAGTTCACAAAGTGTCGAAGTTGCCGACCAACGTTCCCGTCGCAAACTTCCCAGCCCACTGGCCTCAGCTTCCGCTCGTTTCCCCAAACCAGGTTGCTCCGATGCAGCCAAGAAGCTTAAAAAGGACTAGTCCTCAGCTATGGTTCTTCAAGACTGTGAGGGGCTCAGTCTTTCTTTGAGGTTCGCTTTGAAGACCACGAAAGGTGCCCGCATTCGACCAAGTGCTTCATCGCCGAGGCTCGGTCACAGAGCTCCAGCCGGACGGAAGGCCCAGTGAAAGCTTGGCTGGAGTGCAGCGGAGCGGGGCTGTTGCGAAACCTGTCGCTTCGGAATGCAGGCAACTGTACTTGGAGCTAGTCTTTCACTCACTGTCTGCATGAAAAACCCTCCTCGAAGGACGCATGCCGGTGTCTAAAGGCGCCTCTTGTCCAAGCTGGCACCAAGTGCCCGGAAGCAGCGGCCAAGTGCTCTGCGCAACGGTGGATCCACGGCGCCTGAGAAGCGGGCATTTTCCAGAGTTGGGCGGCAGGGCGACAGCGGCTTCAGGGCTTGCGGCAGCCGTTTGGAGCTTTCGGTCTTTCGATTGTGTTGTAGGATGGAGGCTTGAACAGCAAGACAGTGCCAGTCTGTGGTGCTAATACGTGCATCGACTGCTAATCGGCACCTTGAAACAAACGAGCAAATGTCTGCTGATGACAAAACTGCGTCGTGTGACTGTAAATGCAAGTAACATTTGAGGCCCGATTTCATGAGTGCATGCAGACGAATACAGCTGTGAGGTGATGGACCTTGCATAAGCAGGTGCGTTCGCCATGCACAGAAACGTGTGCATTCCTTGCCGCCGTCGAAGTACTTGTATGGCAAATGTACATCTATGCGTATGTGTCTACATATATATATACATGCAAATACACACATACACCTGTATGGATGCATGTATGTGTGTATGTGTATGCATGTACGTACAAAATACAAAAGTTTCTATGTATGTATGTACGTACGTATGTATATATATATATGTATACATACGAACTGTGGATGTTTCTGTATACATGTATGTGCATGTACGTACGTGTACACACCGTGCAGACACAATCATGCCTATCTAGCTTTAGCTATTCGTCTACCTGTCAATGAGCGTGTTTACTCTGGATGACGTAAAAACCAGATACAAAAGGGGATTGGGGATAAGTGCAAGCAAACGGGAAAAACTCGTGTTTTGACTTCACATAGACAAGAGGCCAGCAAAACTGCAGGACCAAAGGACATTCAGGAGGTCGTCCTCAAGCCATTCCACAGTTTGCCCGAAGCTCTGTCGAGGCAGAAAGCTCTGACCCCAGTGCCTCTAATGCTTTTCGCCGAAGAGGTGCTGCAACCTGACTCCAGCGCACCATCTTCAAACCTCGGGGCAGCTCTGCCGAACAGCTCTGCCGGCCATTCCCAACGCAAGCTTCTACACTGCGCAAAAACCTCAGGCTGTAAATCGTGACAACTCAGTTCTCATCTCAATGAACAGCTGTCAGGAAACCACGCCCCCCCGGAACGACTAGGGATGACCATTTCTTGTCGCAGGCACGTGCCCGAACTTCTCGTTGCAGCTGCAAGAAGACCTCCGAACATGCTGAGCTGCTCCCGGACTGCAGTGTCAAAAGACTCAATTTCTGCATTCTGCCCCTGCATCCGACCTGCAGCCTTGTGCCAGCGGTTTGCCGGACACTTGACGCTTGCTGTGGAGCCTCTGCATCCGGGGAAGCTGCAAGGCCGAAGGCAAGATGGCCAAGCTCCTGGGAGGCCCCCGGGACAACCCCTCCTACTACCGGCAGTGAGCAGGCCGGTGGCCAGCAACGAAACGCCGGGTGACAGCTTTCCTACAAACACGACGACAGTCTTGCCGAAACGAGACAATTCTGCTCAGCGTTCTGCTGATGCCAGCAAACAAGAATTGAACAGGAAGAGGACTTATATACGGGTCAGGGTAACCAGAGAGAGCGAGTAGAGTCCACACAGCCAAATGCTCGGAAAGACTCGCATACAGCCAGCAAGGCATATAAATAGGAACTCCAAAGATGGAATATCGGAAAGGGATGATTAAACGCAGAAGAAGAACACCTGCAGAAGGGCATTGGAACAAACAACCAAACCTTGGAGAGGATGAGAAGGGATGTCGCAACAATTGACAGAAACAACGGACTCAGGGAACTGCTGCTCGATCTTTGCCGCTCTCGTGAGGCATATCATAGATCATCTCAACAACCTGGAAGGCCCTCAAAAACTCACGCGGTTGAACCTGCGTGGTGAAGCGATGCAGCGAGGAAGCTTGTCGGGAGCACGCGGCTCGGAATTGTGGGCTTGCAACACCTCGCAGTCACAAGGTTCAGATGCTCTTGCACCGAGATCTCCCCCTGTTGCCAGACATTATGGGCTTGAGGATTTGAAGTTTAGTGTCTCAGGGTTGGGGCTCAGAACTCTCAAGCCATAAGGGCTTGCATGTTGCGACATTGCGAGTGGAACTTTTTGATGTTCATTGACCTCTGCTTGACAGTCCGCGCTTCTTTCAGAACCATGACTGTCTGAATCTTTTGGCTTCTTGTAGAGATGTACATGATTTAGAGTTTAAGGGTTGGGGGGCGAGTGCGTACGTAAGCAGATTGTAGCCGGGGTCAATTGTGCCGTAATTGGGATTCCTCTATTTAAAGCACGCGGGGAATTCTTTCAACCTTTCTCAGCCTGAGGACTCTGTCACCGTGCAACACTGACAGACAAACAGGAACAGCCGAATGGACGAATGGCAATGCTCATCATCACAATAGCCACCATGATCATCATCAGAAGATTCCCTCTCATCCTCATGACAGCAACACGAACTCGGCTCTAGGTGTCCGAGGCACCGAGTGTGGCCAGCGACCAGGACACCCTGAGCTTCCGGATCGATTTTAGCCGCTTCTGCACGCGGCCGGGCTCTGCAGATCTAAGTGACAGGCATCGCGAACTCCGCCGGAGAGACAGTTCCCTGAGCATTGGATTTTCACTGGTAGGACCTGGACTTCCCCTTGATGCCCTTGCCCTTGACGGGGAGACGGAGTCCACATTCCGGGAGCCTCGAGCGCCCGAATGGCAGCCACCGCGGCGCAGGCGCGGAGCTCAGCCTGGCAAAACTGGGGTCGCTGAGGGCTCTGCCCTTGAAGGACATCTTGGCTCAAGTTGGATCCGTGAAGGACACTAAAAGAATGCTGTGGAGCCTCCGGAAGCTGCAGCTTGGCCAGGGTCCACAGCCAAGGGAAGCCAGGGTCCGTGATTTCTCCGTGCATTTGGCGCATCAAAGCCGCACCTTCCAGAACACCAAAAAGCACTTCGGACTCCGCTTTTTGGCGGTCCCGGCCTGCCGTCGTGGCAGCTGAAGCCTGGCAGGCTGCGATGAGGGCCTTGTAGGACTCCGCAGAAACCTGCAAAAGAAAGCAGCGTTTGGCTGAAGGGGCGGCGAGGCCGAAACTTCACCGGCTGGGCCCCCAGGCATTCTGGTCGAGCTGAGCCATGCCAAGCGCCTGCTGCCAGTGCCCCGTCCTCTCGCAGGAGCCTCAGAGCTGAACCATCCGCGAGCCGCCAAGACAGAGAGCTGCACTCAGCTCCTGGCGGGCGAGGCTGCGGCATGTCACCGAGCTGGCCGGTATCCTGGCTGAGAGTGACACCACGAGTGACGCCAGCGACCCTCTGCTGGTCTCTGGAGCAGCTTCTTTTGTCGAGCTGGTGCACACAACTTCGCTGTCTATCACTTGCAGGTGGACACGGAAGCTGCACAAAAAGGAGCTTCCACTTGTTCGCAGGGAGATTCGCACGACTCGGCGGTGCAGAAGCTGATGACAAAGGGCTTCCTGGAGCTCAGTGACAGGGCATCAGGAGACTTGACATGCCGGAAGGTTCACAGGCAACGGGTTTCCTACGCTTTGCGTGCACGGCTCGAGTCGAGGACCGTGTCGAAGGAGCCAATCTCCTTCTTGCATGCGCAGCAGTCCATCGTCTTCTGCTCGACCACACGGGCTTGCTCCGAAGAGTGCAGCGCCTGCGAGGAGGGAGCAAGACAGCGGCTACATTGGGCTACATCGTGGCACGGAAGAAGGGAGGTCCAAGTGAGGGCAGCACCAGGGGCGCCATGACCACCAGCTGGTGTGCCAGTGCATTTTGATTCCACTGCCTTTGTTCAGGCTGCTTGCTCTTGTCTAGGTTCTTCTGGTACTCGGCGAGCCATTTTGAAGAGCTGTCGAAGTACCACCCTCTATTTTGGTTGTTGTACTCCACCAATGCTTTGAACTTCTTTTCCTCCTGCTTCTGATGGACAGTGATGTCCTACACAGGGAGAGGGATCTTCAAGCACCGCACAGTCCGAGAGTGAGTTTGACCCAGGCCTGGCCGAGGAGCTTCTTCTCGGCGACTTCCGTCAGCTTCTGGAAGCACTGATTGTGGCGCTGGGCCTGACAACTCTCCACGCACTGGCTCCCGAGCTTCTCGAGCTGTCGAAGCAGCCGTCCTAAGGACGGGCAAAGGGCACCAAAGGCACTCGGCACTCGGACCCCCTGACGTCCCGGAATGCAACAAAGGCTCTCAACCGGCCTGCCTCATTGTGGAGGTCAGCCTCACCCCACCAGACAGCTCTTTGCTGTTTGGTGACGGCTTGTGGCCAGGGGTCTAACTCATCGCAGTCCTGACACCACAGACACTAAATTGGCCGTCCGGAACGGCAGCTGCAACACAAACATGGTGTGAGTGTTCACACGCACTCACACCCAAGGACTGCAACAATTATTTAGCAGCGACACACCAACTGGCACTTGTGCAAAACAGCCAGAAGCAACACTGCTTGACCCTGACTGCGCATGCAAGGGTCCCAAATCCGCGTGCAGCAGGATCTGGTGGCACCGCAGTACGTGGCGTTCTCATTTTTGGCCTCACGAAGCAAGCCTACTGTTGCTGTAGGCATTGCATACC